GCTGCTGACGCTTGGCGCGGCCCCGCGGGCCCGGCTGTCATTGAACGCGTTCGAGGGGCTTTGGGAAGAGGCGTTTTCCGCTTCGGAGGGTTTCATTTCCGAGGAGTTCAGATTCTGGTAAACCGGGAGTTATGAAAGTCTTTATAAGCCAAAGTCTTTCTTGGAGCTGTAGAAGTAAATGTTCTTTCATGGTTTGAATCATTATACGAGATAAAAATTCTGTTGTGTTCATTTTCTTCAAGTACTCTTAAAGGTACACTGTCTTCCTGAGCTGTGTCAGATATTTACGGTAGGATAGAGATGTTGGAATTCCCTCTTAAATACTCCACAGATGCTCTGGGGAACATCTCAAGGTTGGCCATTGGAATTCACCCAGACTTTCAGACTTCCAGTATTGTGAAATATCTGCAGAGCTGTTCTGAAGACCCTGTGATCCTGTTCAGTTTTGACCATCTCAATGCTTCAGAACAGGATTTTTATTTATCTGAAAGGACAGAATATTTCAGGCTTAGATGGCCCTTGAAAACATGGAGATTTAGTTGATGCATGCCCAGTCTGAGCACATTAACATTAATTTTTGTCTTCTGAAAAAATTCTTTATAAGTCATCTTAAGTTTTTTAAAACTGAGATTCGTGTTTTACCTTTTACAGCCATGCAAGAAGCGGCGAGAGGAAGATGCTTCTGCAGAAACAATCACAAGGTATTTTTCACCACTAGCAAAACCAGTGGACAAGGCATTGTCATCACCAAAATCCAACAATATCTTGGATTATTTTAAAAAGACATCTGCAACTGAGAATGCTGCATTGCCAGTAGGAGCTGGAGAAAATAAAACACTGTTGGACACTGATGAGAAAGAGTGTAAATCATCTTTCAAGCCATCTTTAAAGCGGAAGAGAAAAGGGAAGAAAGGCAATTTAAGTAATATGCCAAAAGAAATGAAAGAATCTGAGAATGACCTTGAAATAGAAATTAGTAGTGATGACAGCAGAGTAACTACAGGACTGCAACAAGACAGTAATGACTTTATTGCTTCTTGTACTCTAGTGGACAAAAAATGTACAGAACAATTAGCAGAAGATAATGATCAACGAGAGAACTTCCCAAACATTATCCCCTCCAGAAAAAATGCAAAAAACTTTGGTTGTGAAACAAATGGATCAAAAAATAGGTTAAAAAAATCAAGGAAAAGGAAGCACAAAGTAAATACTGATTTGTCTGAAAGCTCTTTATCAGAAAACCAGATTAATGAAACATATAAAAAGGAAACTGAGGAGAAGGCAAATACAGTAGCAGAGTGTGATGCTGCTATTGGTGATTCCAGTTTTGAGGTTCATATGGATGATGGGAGATCCCAGGTAAATAATTGCATAATAACAGTGTCATTTGAGGACTTCTTGAGAAGTCAGGGAGAAAATAATGTTGAAGACACAAAGCCAGCAATGGACACTTGTGGTGCTGCAAATCAAATGGACAAAAGTGATGGTGTTAGTGACCCAGAAAAGTGTGAGGAATCCCAGCAGCTGCCACTCAGAACAGTGACTGTGCTTGCACAAGTTCATTCCATTCCCCCCAGACTACCTCCCTCAAATAAGGAGCAGAAAAGCTCCAGGAAAATAGCTTCCATTTTTTTGAAGCAGAAAGGACGTGTAGGGAAAAGAGAAAGCAGCCCAGCCCCCT